TTACACATAAATAGATTGTATTTACTTTGATGAACATCACAGAACACAGCGTTTTGACATGACGAAATAAATATTTCATGAACAAAAGAATTTTTCCTGTTCTGCATTTTAATATTGAAAATAAACTTTTCATATAAATAAAAACATATTAAATGATTCTTCAAAACCAAACAATCTGAATGTTACTGTTAATTCAGAGGCACAAAACTTGTTATTGAGCAGCTAAATGTGAACTAGTGCAAAGCTGCTGTCCAAATTGATACATAATGCACCTTTTGACATGGAAGGTGAGTGGTCTGAAACAAGATGCCGCAAAGGATGAAATATACAACTTTATGTACACCATCCCTCAAATGTGACTTCTCATTTAATCTCTTGGTGTGACTGTACGGTTTATGAGTGGGATGCTTTGAGAGTCATATCTTGAGGGACAGTTAAGAGTTCTACCATTGGATTTGAAAGCTGAAAAACCAATAGCAGTAATTATCTCAAGAGGATAATTAGTATTATCTTTCAAGATGAATGAAGATGGAGCTACTAGCTAGAGATAACTATCACAAGCAAATAGATTTTTAAGTACAGGACTTGCTTCAGTATAGGCAGGATTATGCATCAACTTCCTACATTTTGCACCAACGTGGACTGACACCAGACATTAATTAATTGAGATGCATGACAATGGACTGAGGAATGAATCCTACCTACTTTAGGAGATAAAAGAGGTCAATTTATGAAAATTGAGGATGAGAATTGTGCACAGTAGATTATACAAATATTAAATAAATACTTCATTCACACTGGTCAGCCGCCACAGCAGCCCAGCAGGTGACTCTACACCAGCTTAGTTGTTGTGGTGAGATAAAAGCTCTTTAGCTTTTAATGGAGGTACACTGAGAAAACTGGAAATGTAAAAATGATGTGCCATGACCAGTTCAAAAAGCAATGTGCTGCCAGGTATGGCGCTCTGAAAGCAAACGATAGTCTTTCTTTAAGACACTGCTAACATTTGCTTAGCATTGCAACAAAATGTGTGCTTTAGTGTAAAATGAAGAGCTTGGCTCTCCAGCTAGCAACCTAGCAGCACTGCACATGATTAGCAACCCCAGGAAATGGTGGTCTATAATCCCTCCATCCCCCTATGGGCTAGAGGTATCTAGTATTAGTTTGGGAGGGAGGGGTTTGGGGTATTCACCTGCTCCAGAAATGCACATCTAACACGGTGAATACCCCTAGTTTTGATATGGGGGAGGAGAGAGATGGCCATATTAACCGCTCTTGAAAAGAAGAATGGCGACTTGTCCCAGGTAGAAGTAGATAAAATGCTTTGTCTCATGCGTTACATAGCTGCCAAAATTACGACCCACGATGCAATGCCAAGTAGGGTTATATTTCTTGTCAAACTCCTTCTTGATGTATGCAGCAATATCCTGAAATGAAAACAAGAATATTTCATACACTGTACTGAAACAGTAGAACTAAAACCTCACTAATTATTTTTTATATTTTTTTTACAATATACCTACTTATTTTCATAGCTATTGGCTTTATTTTTTGTGATTTGTACAAGCACATATACTAACAAGGTCAGTGATTAAAATAACTATAAAATGGTAAATACTTGACCATAGATATAATTACTGTGCTTCAACAATTAAGGTCTTAAGTGTATAAAAATGAGACCGAACTTCCTGGGTTGAAAAACAGACATACAGTAAGTAGCTGTCGATAAATGTTTTCACAGATGATTGTTACGTACTGTGAAGTATTACACTGTACGTAAGTAAGTAACCACAATTTGCCTTATGAATAAAGAGAAAACTGTATACAATACTATATACAGGTTGTACCTCTCTAGTCCGGCAACCTCGGGACCTGACCGGTGCCGGACCATGGAAATTCACCCTTTTCCTGGATAGATAGTGACTTGTGCTTATGCTTGGAAGCACTAGCACCACTTTCTCTGCATCATGGTCTCTTTGAAGACATATTGAAGGGGTAAATGTCGTATAGTAGCTTCTCAAATTTCGCGAGTTTTTAATTCTTAACGTATTTTATTGGAACACACAAAAATAAATAAATAAAAATTTTGACGGCGGAAACTCGAATTTCGACGGGTTTGAATGGCCCGCCAACGTGCATAATCGTGTAAACCACGTCATTTCTCTTATGTACAAAAGATTCATTATTGTTTATTACTGAATGTCTTTTTTATTGAATTAATGTTTGTGTGCAAAATGAGCAATACAATTCATTAATAATACGTAGAATATTAAAACACACGAGGAAATGACACAGCATTGTTTTCGTTGATTACAAAGCCAGTGACTGACTAGTTCTACATATAAAACTGAAGAAAATAAGACCTTGGTTGTAGCTGTAGTAAAATTAATATGGTTGTTTTAAGTACAGTGACCCCTCCGTTAACGAACTCGATCCGTTCCAGAAGGTCGTTCGTTAACAGAAACCATTGTTTCAATGGGTTTTTGGGTAATTGGTTCCAGCTCACCGAAAATTTCCTAAATTCAACAAAAATGGTAGAAAAGTTCTTTCTTTGAGGTGTGTATGTAGAAGGCTCCTGGATGATGATGATGATGATGATGGGATTTAGAATGGGGGTGGAGGAGAAGGAAGAAGAGAAGGCATTGGGGTGGAAGAGAAGTCACCCCATGGCGCCATTTCACCCATAAAATTTTAGCTCTCTTGGTGTAATTCAAGATTATTTTCTTTAAATCAACACTGCACTGCATTATATATTGTCAATATGTAAAATATATTTCAAAATGACCAATAATTTGCTTGGAAACACAGAAAAAAGCATTTAGTTGAAGAGAGTCTCAAGCAAGATGTTACCTCCAGTGAAAACAGAGAGAGACTAACTCCTGTTTGCTGTGTTAAGAGGCTGGATGCCGAGCATTAAACTAGTCACTTTACCTTCAATTATGTTCAATAATTGTTAAAATGGCTAAAAAATTGAATATTAAACTTTTAAAATTATTGAATAGTATAAACTTCTTGATATTTACTAAAATAGTAAGGAATTTAAGCCCTAGAACCGATTAATGTATTGGCGGACTGATACTAAAGCTGGTTGCCCGGTCAGTGCAAGCGAAAACATGTTGAGGTCGGTTCGTAAGAACTTCGTTAACCGAATTTTTTTCGTTAACCGAATTGAAGATCCTTATGGAAGGCAGTTCATTAATCGAAATTACGTTAACCGAGGTGTTCGTTAAACGAGGGGTCACTGTAATGTTATTTAATGTTAATAAATGGAACAATAGAAGTAGCTAACGATAATGGTAAAGTAAAAAGAGAGACTGCGTATGTAAGTGCGCATGCGCACACGTGAAAACATATCGTCATTACTTTACATAAGAATATGAAAGCAACACTTATTTACTGTTCATATATATTTTAATTAACGTTTCTGAATTTGTTTTTATTGAATTAATGTATGTGTGCAAAATTAACAATACAATTTATTAATAATACATGGAATATTGGAGGAGACGAGACAGCTGCCGGCATTGTTTATGTTAAAGCTTACGAAACCAGTGACCGATTGGTTCTACATATAAAACTGAAGAAAATAAGACCCTGATTTTAGCTGTAGTAAAATTAATGTAAAAAAATAATATGGTTGTTTGAAGTACCTGTAATGTTATTTAATGTTAATAAATGGAACAATATAAGTAGCTAACCATTAATGGTAAAAAAAAAAAGTGAGACTGAGCAAATGTAAGTGCGCACATGTGTAAACATATCGTCATTACTCTACATAAGAATATGAAAGCAACACTTATTTATTGCTCATATATATTGAAGGGTTAAATGTTGTACTCTGTATAGACAAGCACAGAGAGAGCAGCCGAACTGCTGGATGTAAACAAACATTAATTTCCCGCGGCTTTTTTTTTTTAAGGGGATTAGCCCACCAGGGCATAGGTCACTGACCCACATTGGGGCCTGAGGGGCCACGGGAGTTTCCGGACCACAGAATGCCGGACTACAGAGGTACAACCTGTAGTACTATAAGGATAAAATTAAGAAAAAATAAAGAGTGTAGGGGTATATTGTGTGTGGGAGATTAGAATACATCTGGGAGCAGCAGACAAGAGGGTAGGGGAGCTTGGTTCTCGCCCCCAAGATCCCCTTAATACGCCTTTATGAATTTCACCACAATTCTCATATTTAGATTCATTTGCTGCCAGTTTGCAAAAATATCATAAAATAATAAACTTTCCCAAAAACGAATCCCACACTCACTTCCCTCACCCACGTGCTTACCATAACATTGATTTTCAGCACTCGGTATATAGTACTGTAGTGGACAGTATTTATCATCACTTAATAATATTAGTGTTGTGCGTGTATCAGCAATTAATAATATTGTAGAGCATTATGCACCTACATCTTCCCTGGTTCATTCATTAATCAGATGTCTAAGTGTATAAGTAGCAGAGTTGAGCCATTTTGTATCACCCAAAGGTAACTCCGTATCAAATACTACAGTATGTTATAGTGACCCTATTCTAAATTGTTTGGTTAAAAGCTTTCAAATGAATGCATCTTGAGTGAATACCTTCTGATACAGCTTATCCTTTTATTTTCAAGCCAAATAAAAAATTACATATTGCATTTGTTTTCTATTATTGAAGAAGTTATATTAATCATATGAAACATACACCATAAAGCTAGGGTTATGCCAGAGTTTTCCGGGCAATAAACCCACGATAGTATTTCATCCACATGCAATAAGTCAATGGTACAATGTGCACACTGGTCACACTGGCGAAAGGAACCATTGGCCAGGCGCCCAGTTCTCGCGGTTAGTTTGAGTGAGATGTGTGGTTCTTTTAAAGAAGACCAAGACGAAAAAGAAATGACTGTAGCTTCCAAGCGATGTTTCTTTATACTGTATAAGTAATGCAAGAACAAGTACTCTAGAGTCAAATTAGATTCCTGTCATGATGTATTCTTATTTTTTATTTACTATGACATTAGTAAGCAAAACTAAGAATGGTGTAAATTTTATTAATACAATAGACTTTATAGCAAATTTCAACCCACCATACTGTGGATTTTCAGACGCCCCGTTTGTCCCACTTTCGACAATTTGAGAAGTTCGTTAAAAAATCAACGCTACGGTGAAAATAAATATATATATATGTAACCGGTCGGAATTTACTGGACTTTATTTTCTCACTTGGCTTGGGGTTTATTAAAGATTATTAGATGGTAATGGCAGTGGAAGCGCCCCTTAGTGAGAAATCCCGAACCAGCACAAGAGCACTTAAATTTACTAACAAAATGAATTGTCCGCGACCCATGGAAGGATAGCGTCTGTGACTGGGATGAATGAGGCACACTGTAAATTTTAGACACTTTTATTCCCTCCAACTACAAACACAATCAAATAATGGTGCACCAATATGCGCACCTCTCAACTTGAACTTAAAACACTACTCTGAGGAATAAAAGTTGTACATGATATTGAAATTATTAGAAACTCAGACAACAATAAATTTAAAGTATTAAGAAATGTTGCTTGCACACATGAAACAGGCCTTAAGGGTTTTCACAGAATAATATCCACCACTGCAGAAGTGGTATAAAAATAAGAAATTATTAATTCCACCATGAATAGGCCTAAAGGGCACTCAATATAATTATGTTACACCAACAGATGCAGGCCTTAAGGGTTCTGGCGGAAACCTTGTTATACTGCAATAGCGCAGCACAGGTGACTAGACCACGTGACTATTTCTGTGGACGGACGCGCAGGGATGTCCTGTAGGTCCAATCGCTTTCACGTGACTCAGGACCAGCCAGCGTCGCGTCTCTCCAAGGCGCTAGCTTAGGCCTACGTGACATATTTTCCGCCTAACTAATAACTCCTTGGGACACCCGTGACATTATTCAGACTGATAAACGATCTATAATAATTTCAAATTCAATAATAGTCCCTTAACTTCATGAATCGCATCATTATTAATTCGGCAAATTACATTTAATATCACTTAGGCCTAGTTCCACAACCTCTCGCTATGTGCAGGGAGCGCTCTCTTCCCTCCGACGACCTTGAAAGCTCAGTATCGCCAATGGCGCGGTGTTTGAAATTACACTGAAATTTCTGAATATTACATATATATATATATATATATATATATATATATATATATATATATATATATATATACATATATATACATATATGTACCTATATATACATATATATACATATACATACATATACATACATATACATACATATATACATATACATATATACATATACATATATACATATACATATATACATATACATATATAAATATACATATATACACATACATATATACATATACATATACATATATATACATATATATACATATACATATATATACATATACATATACATGTATAT